TGTGTGTGTATGTGCGCGTGTGCGCGTGCGGTGGGGGCGTAGGCCAACTCACAGTCTTGTGGTAATGTCACATCCCAAATAAATCAGGTCTCTTTTCTTTTGGAACATTCTCAGCTTCTTTGAATATGAAAGTCTCCTCGTTGATGGTTACGATGAGTCTGGCAGGGTACAGGATGCCGTGCCATAAGTTTTCTTTGCGCAGTATGCTACGGAGCTCTCTGTATGAATCCCGCTGGCGCTGTATCTCCATTGGGAAATCCTGAAACATGCGAAGATGATGTCCGTCCCATGTCAGCTTTCCTTTAGCAGACGCCAGCGTCTTAAACACCTCGTTCTTATCGCTCCATCTGAGAAAACGTATGATGATATGCCGCGGAGGGTGCCCAGGGTCCGGGATGGGACGCAGAGTGCGGTGGGCACGCTCTATCTCAGGTGCGGGGATTGTGTCACTCAGCTTCAGGAAGTGTCGGAGAATTGTATCCAGTAGTGGGGAGATGCCACCGGCTTCTTTACCCTCGGGGATGCCGGCTAGGATGAGATTATTTCTCCGACTTCTAGCTTCCAGATCCAGCATTTTACCCTGGAGGGCTTTGACTTCTTTGGACAGATCAATCATTGTCTTCCCTTGGGAATTGGCTTGATGATCCTCTATCTCACTAATACGCTTTTCTGCGTTGTTTATTCCTTGATAAGTGGCCTTAGAGTCTTTCTTCAACTGAACAATAGCCTTGTCTAGATTGTCAAACCTTACGTTACAGGTTTCTTTAACGCTTTGTATTTCAGAAAGCAATTGACTAGCCCACTTGGGGACGTGTTCCTCTTCACCAAACATTTCCGCCATGAGGCCGCTGTCTTTCTTTGCTCTAGCTCTGGTCAAACTACTTTTAGACGCAGATGTTTTTACACACTAATAGAACTGACTGCGCATTACACTTTGAGACCTCCAGTTTTGGTTAAATCATATAAGTCTGATTACCGCAGGTGTTCCGGATTAACTTGTTTCCCGATCAACTTGTTTCCCGATCAACTCGTTTCCGTGCGGTGCGTGGCTTTCGACTGAAATACACATTTCCATCACTTTCTTCTGTCGTTTACATACATCTTTTGGTATATTTGGCTTCTTAGGAACACGTTGATGCACATCCAGTACCAGTGTGTGAGGTTGTGATTACGATGGCGATATCCGGACGCGAACAGCGAGGACTACAACAAGACAAACGAGTTGCTCGAATAAATCATTTAAACCAGCTATTGTTGCCAGACTTATTACGGAATATCGTTGTTAATGTCCAAGTCCATCTGTGTATACCTTCAGACAGCCTCCAAGTGAAGCCCATGGTGTTTACTCACAGTTTGAAAGCAGCGTGGAGAAGTCTTCATCTGTGTTAAACTGTGATCCTCCCAGGGAACTGGGACCCGCCCAGGTTAAAATGTGACCCGCCCAGGTTAAATTGTGTTACGATTTCTGTGGCTATCTACCAGCGATCATGTTTAATATGAAAGACTACCCACATATGTATCCCTTATAAAAACGGTATTGTGCAGCACTCATCCAGATAAGATGTGACTGTTACCTCGTTTTGCAAAGATAGCAGCAGAAATGTCATTGGGGATATTTAGACTTTAAAATGCTGCTTGGTCATGAATGTTGGTGTCGGCAAACAATATTACGAATCCTCTATTCAAACATAATTTCAATGTGCATCGACATGAAATAACAAAAAAGTTCATGCTGGACTCAAACCCGAGTCCCAACAGTAAAAATCAATCATGCCCTGCGCTTTATGAGTGCGCCACGAAACATCACGTCCTAACAGATCACCACAGCTCATTTTGTTACATTAACATTGTCAACAAGTTCTAGAAAAATGCAACCCGACATCATATTGATAATAATATATGATACAAATGTAAGACTGACAACAATAATAGTTAGTAAAGGATTTATTGATGTGAATGTTTGGAACAGTGAATACTTATTGTAAATCACTTTGGATAAAAGCGTCAGCTAAATGCAATGTAATGTGATGTAACAGGCATCAACACAGCGACTTGATTTATTGTTCTCTGGTGATCAGTTAGGACGTGTTGAATGGAGAAGTCTTCATCTGTGTTAAACCGATCCTCCCAGGGAACTGGGACCTGCCCAGGTTAAACTGTGACCCGCCCAGGTCAAACTGTTACGATTTCTGTGTTAAGTGTTCACTGTTCAAAACATTCACGTCAATAAATCCTTTACAAACTATTATTGTTGTCAGTCTTACATTTGTATCATATATTATTATCAATATGATGTCGGGTTGCATTTTTCTAGAACTTGTTGACAATGTTAATGTAACAAAATGAGCTGTGGTGATCTGTTAGGACGTGATGTTTCGTGGCGCACTCATAACGCGCAGGGCATGATTGATTTTTACTGTTGGGACTCGGGTTTGGGTCCAGCATGAACTTTTTTGTTATTTTCATGTCGATGCACATTGAATATTATGTTTGAATAGAGGATTCGTAATATTGTTTGCCGACACCAACATTCACGACCAAGCAGCATTTTAAAGTCTAAATATCCCCAATGACATTTCTGCTGCTATCTTTGCAAAACGAGGTAACAGTCACATCTTATCTGGATGAGTGCTGCACAATACCGTTTTTATAAGGGATACATGTGTGGGTAGTCTTTCATATTAAACATGATCGCTGGTAGATAGCCACAGAAATCGTAACACAATTTAACCTGGGCGGGTCACATTTTAACCTGGGCGGGTCACATTTTAACCTGGGCGAGTCCCAGTTCCCTGGGAGGATCACAGTTTAACACAGATGAAGACTTCTCCACGCTGCTTTCAAACTGTGAGTAAACACCGTGTGCTTCACTTGGAGGCTGTCTGAAGGTATACACAGATGGACTTGGACATTAACAACGGTATTCCGTAATAAGTCTGGCAACAATAGCTGGTTTAAATGATTTATTCGAGAAACTCGTTTGTCTTGTTGTAGTCCTCGCTGTTCGCGTCCGGATATCGCCATCGTAATCACAACCTCACACACTGGTACTGGATGTGCATCAACGTGTTCCTAGAAGCCAAATATACCAAACGACAGAAGAAAGTGATGGAAATGTGTATTTCAGTCGAAAGCCACGCACCCCACGGAAACGAGTTGATCGGGAAACAAGTTGATCGGGAAACAAGTTAATCCGGAACACCTGCACCCGACTACTCCGCTCAGCTCGCCGGTGTCATCACGTGATCCAAAGCGTTTTGTCTAACCCCAGCTTTTATTGAAAGTTAATTATTCAAAATGTTAAAGTGCCTTATTTTTAAACTGAAACTTGCACTACTGTTCAAAATAAATAAAAAACAAACCTGGAATTATGGATTTGGGACTTTTTTTTGTTGCTTTTTCTTGTTGTACCGAACCCGTACCCAACCGTGACCCCCAAACCGAGGTACGTACCGAACCGTGAATTCTGTGAACCGTTACACCCCAGTAACAACTTAAATGAAGGCTTCTGTGTCTTCAGATTTTCGTTCGTCTTATAATGTTGAAACTAGCTGTATATATACAATTGAAAATATATTTTGGTCCTCATAAAATCTGTAAATCAATGTTGATGTGTTGATGGCAACTTGTTTCTAATTATCACAAGTTAAATGTTATTATTCAACATTGTTTTGATTCAAATGAGTATGGTGACTACCCAGGATGGGGTGCCCACAACTGTTGACCCCAATATGTTAACTCAACAACTACTACAACTACTGCAGCTACTTTATAGTAACTCAATGTAAAAAGAACAAGCAATAAGTGAATAAAAGTATTAAATCACTGTTTGTCAACGTCAGCTCTGTTGTTTCTGTCGCTTGTTAAATTGTATGATGGTGTCTTTATCATTCTACTTACATCAAACATTGGGATCAAATTAACTTCATGCGTACTATTTGACAAATAAAATATAAAAAAAATATGACCAAATATATATTTTTCTTTTATTACATATGTATGAGAAACAAAAATGTGCATAAAAGTACATAGGTTCGGTAGATACAGGTGAGGTTAAGAGTGATCTTTACACAGAACATAACAGATGATTTTGGGTCGTTGAATGCAGTTTAGTTTGATGTTCATTCAGTGTTGTACGAGTTGAATGGGTTGATGATTGTTTTCAGTAGCTGTGAGCATCTGCTGTGTGTGGTTAGAATAGTGTGCTCTTCCTCTACCTGTGTTCTGTTGCCTTTCTGGTCACCTATGACCTTATTTATACCCCTGTGCAGCTAACCCACACCACCAAGTGTTCAAAAATAATATAGCATTATAAAACTAAACAAAATAATATAACATGCCAACAATAAACTTAAACGGCTCCTATAATTTGTATTACCTTTTTTAAATGTTCTTTTAAATAAGGTATAGGTTCAATAAGATTGGCTTATCCCTGCTCCTTTCCATTATGGGCTACACAAAATGTGTACATGTTTTGTTTTATAATAATTGCCATGAGTGGAATTAACTAATAAATAAATAGATGGATAGATAGATAGATAGATAGATAGATAGATATATTTATATCTCATATCATTATACATTTTAAGAAAGACACACATTCTAGATCCATGTTTTCAATCCATGAAGTTTATTGAGTAGTTACTCCAGAAAATAAGTGAAATGACCCACATGTTTGATTGACCTGGAATGATTAGGACTGTATCATTTACTGTAGGAGATGATTCTGAGTACAACATCACACACTGAAAAAAACAGAGCTGATCAAACATCTAATAATTACTGGGTATTATTCACTTATATATAGGTGACATTTCAGTTCCCACTAAGTAGCCGCAGCAGTAGTTGTATGAGTGAGGCAATATTGGGGGTTGTGATTGCGCTGGTGGTGCTCTGCAAGAAAATCAGAAACATTCAGATTCAAATGTGTAGGAATTCTTCAGTATTTGACATATAGGTGTGTTGAATGTTGAATTAGAGAAGTTAAAGAAAGCACTCACCTCTCCTGAATTTGACTCAGATGAGCTTGAACGAGCAAGTCGTTTATGCTCCATGTCATTCTGGAAAATAAATTTACAAGTTGCAAATTTGAAACTGACTGTTATCGGATACGAATCATAAATGATATTGAGAATGGACATATTAAACTCACAGGACGAGCCAGAGCCAGGCTCAGGAGGCATCCAAGCACAAGAGCTAGCTTCAGCATGGTTACAGTGATCACACTGTCAAATGGAACAAATCAAGACTGATGCATTTACTACAAAATTGGCAAAATCACCACCAGCCTCACATATAAAGTACAGAAAGATAAGATATATTTACCTTCAAATCTTTGCACCTTCAGCAGTTTATCTCACAGAGAGTCGAGGAGGTTTTTGAGTTGCTATGAATGTTGAGCTTTCCTTATATACAGTACAGTAACAGGAGTGCATGTCATCCCATTACCAAACAGCAAGGTTGGGAAATTGTTATTTCTACCACCACATTTGAAGGTGTTGCTAATGATCAAAGATTGAAAACACTCCTAGATTTATGATAAGTTGCATTAATTTAATAGCTCAGATCTGAATGAACATACATATATCAAATGGATTTGTTTTCATAATCAGCAAACATTGTATATTAACACTGTTATCTAGGTTTAGTAGGTTTACACTACACCCTTCTGTGTTGGCCAATCAGACAGAGATGTAATCAAGTAAATGTCATGCATGGACTCTCTACTTGTGAGACTACCTGAGCCAGCTTTGTACATCATATAATACAAACATTTCACCACTGTCTACAGCATGTAAAACATTTCTGGAGGTATCTGAAGAGGATGAGAATGATATGTGTGAATGCTAAGACAACAGCGTGTATTCCTGGAGACAGTTTGGTTGGAAAACATAATAGGATACATTGTTTTGTGACTCTAAAAATGAATTTAATTCAAAGGCTTATCAGAGAGTGGAAGAACACTGGAGGCAATGGGATAAATTAGATGAATTGCTGACTATTTTGATATTTGTTGGCAAGAGATAGGTTACAAATATTAAACATATTTCGAACAGAATTGCATTGCTCTCTTTTTGTTATTGGGCTAAACCCCAGCTGACTTGTGACAGCTTTCTTGCAAAACACATTTCATCACATAGATACAGTCTATCCATCTAAATCCATGAATGACTTCAGAGAAACTCTCCAACAAAGGATGACTGGACTGCAATTGTTAACTAAATGAACTGCATGTGGAATTTTACCTTCACATTATAATATGATGGATTCTATTACATACTCTTTGAATAACCCCTTTTGTGCCCATGGCAACACCTTGGTTTGGGGTTATTTGACACATGTTAATCTATATTTACATCTCATTATTGTAATTTGTAGTAAGTATGTTTGAAGATCAGGCGTGGCGTGTTTCCTAATGCCCCCCGGGTCTGTACTCAAGTCGTCACTCATGTGTAGCTTTGAATGAACAGTCAAAAGGAGTTCTCATTGGCAACATGACACTTTTTTTCAGGGTCTTTCAAAGACACGTGTAATGGGTAATATAATATTGTGTTAAGGGACATTTCTGCAAGCAATTTGTTTTATTAACAATTGCATTCAATCCTTTTTTGTAAGTGTTTTGCTGCAGCTATTTCAGTGTGAAAGCTTGTCAAATGTCATTTATTGTAAAAAGATATTCATCCTGAGTCACGAAAAGGCTGGGGTTGTGCCCAATGCAAAACAACAAGTATTGCATTTCTGCTTCGTTATATAATAATTGCCATGAGTGGAATAACTAGATAGATAGATAGATAGATGTCATTATACATTTTAAGAAAGTCACATGCTAGATCCATGTTTTCAATTCATAAAGTTTATTGAGTAGTTACACCAGAAAATAAAGTGAAATGACCCACATGTTTGATTGACCTGGAATGATTAGGACTGTATCATTTACTGTAGGAGATGATTCTGAGTACAACATCACACACTGAAAAAAACAGAGCTGATCAAACATCTGTAATAATTACTGGGTATCATTCACTTATATATCATTTTGCTGCAGCTATTTCAGTGTGACAGCTTTTCAAATGTGTTTTTATTATAAACAGACATTCATCCTGAGTCACAAAAAGGCTGGGGTTTTGCCCAATGTAAAAAAAAAAGAAAAGATAATTCAATTTTTATTATTAATGTTCTTTTCAGCCGTGTCTTGCCGAAACATATGCAGAAGGGATTCAACGCAGGAGATTACATTTACAGATTTCATTGCATTTGTTTTCTTAATTTTTCAACACTAGACTAATTAGATTAACTATAATCATTTATGATATGAGGTATTACATGAATGCAACACACCATCATACGGTGTTTGGTTTCCATCTCTGATCCACACCTTGAAATGTGGAGGAGGGAGATTTCCTAATATTTGCAGTTTTCCAACATTGTTGTTACCTTGCTAATGAGAGGACACCCACTCCTGTACCTGTATATATGCAAAGCTCAACACTCAGAGAAACTCAAAAACCTCCTCGACTCTCTACGAGACAATCTTCTGAAGTTGTGAAGAATTGAAGGTAATTATATATTTTCCTTCTATTCTTCTAAGTGGGAATTTGCTCATATTTTAGAAAACCTGCATCACTCTTTATTTCTTCCTTCTAACAGATCATCACTGTAACCATGCTGAAGCTAGCTCTTGTTCTTGGATGCCTCCTGAGCCTGGCTCTGGCTCAGCCTGTAAGTGTAACATTTTCAAACTTAATATCAGTACTTTTCTTCTCATACCGTGATAAAAGTATTTGAATTGTTATAGAAAAATGAAGGCAGTATCATAATTGTGGCTTTCCCTACAGATGGACACCGAGCACAAAATACTTGCTCGCTCAAGCTCTGGCTCTGACTCTGACTCTGACTCTGACTCAAATTCAAATGAGGTGACTGTTTTCTCTATCCTCTGAAGTTCAACAAACACTTGATTGTGAAATGATATACAATTCCCTAGCTACTCCTCTGCTTTATTTGACAATGACTCTCTGATTTTCTTGCAGAACAACAACAACAACAACAACAACCAGCAGGCCATTAACACCCAGTTGATTCAGATGATCCTTGAGCTGTTAAACCGGCTAGCGACCACTGCAGCTACAACTATTGCTGCTCCTACTACCCCAGTGCAGGGGCGGACTGGGACTACAATTCAGCCCTGGAAACTGACCCAGTCCGGCCACATGAAATGTCAAATGTTAGAAATCCGCTGTTTATTATTTAAAGTTTTACGTCCGATACGCTCCTTTGTTCCTCTCTGTACACAGCTCCAGTTTGGGCATTGGCCTGTCATCAGATTTCATTTTTAGTTGCTGCTGTAGCGGAAGTTTAGTACAATTATTTTTGATGAAATACTCCAAATCTCCACCCTCCACAATTGCACTTGCTTCAGTTGCTTGCTACTTTTTAAGGGCGGTGATACAGTACGAACTGAAGTTGATGCGATTTGATTGGATTGTGAGGCATGACGTGAGCCTCATCTGATTGGTCAATCCCTCAATTTTTTTCACCAAGGGAAGCCCATTTCGGCTGGCCTCCTCTGGCAACAGAGAGTGCAATATACTGTTTCACCATAACATCTAGAGGGGCGCTGTTTCACTCTTTGTAAAATACTCAATGAGAATGGGGGAGAGACGGGCCGGCAGAATAATTACCGAAACTAAACTAAGTGTTTTTATTTATTTATTAATATTATAACTATAATCCAAAAAACAGGGGAAGCCTGGCTTCCCTTGGCCTCCAGGAGAAAACGCCACTGAGTTCAGGGGATAATTCTCACCCACCTCTTGCTCTTGCCCTGCACGTGTGCCAGTTGAGCTGGTTCTTCCACCAGCTCAACTCTGTCCCTCATCATGAACGCAGGAGGCTGGCTGTATATCTGAACTCGCACCCTCATCATTCTCTTCATCATCTTGCATTTGTTCTAAGCTGCTGCTGATAGTGCTTGTAGCTGCCAAAAAGGTCTGTCAATTTGCGACATTTATATGCTTCACCTGCGAGTGACTTCACCTTTTTTTTCTCTTGCCTTCTCGGCCCACCTTTTTCTTTTCGTTTTCTTTGATTTGTATCCATGTTTTTTCATTCTCCCTGTCTGCCGCAGCGTCTAATCCCTTCTCTTCGGCCCATTCCCAAACCGCCCCCTACACCCTACCCCTACACCCTACCCCTCCGTTTGCGCGTTCACGCGGAGGGTCCGCCATATTGAGGGCTGTTCCAAAGCAACGAGTGTGGAGGGGGAGTGGGCTATCAAGCCCTCAAACAGCGAGTCTGCAGCGGTGCTGACTTGAGACCGGTCTCTACCTGACCGGAGTCACGCTGTGTGTGTCCGTCAGGAAACACGCTGTTTACAAGTAGTTCCAGCAAACATCCACTGATAAACTGCGATGTTAACAACCTCATGATAACCTCATATGTTTTTAATTTAGGATCATACCTGTGTTTAGTCTAGAAAAAGGTAAATGTGTGCATTTTATTATAAAGTTGTGTATATTTACAGACCGTTGCAAAAACTAAGAAGCTTATAAACATCAGGTTTAAAACTAAAAGAGCTTTGAAACACAATGAAAGATGTTTGGAGTTTTATTTGAGTTATTCATTTAAACTTTTTGTCAAAGAGATGCTGATTTGAAACCGTTGTTACATACAGTTACGGCATTTCCTGTTTCTGCCGGAGAGAGGGGAGGCCGTCCCAAAGCTTGCTGCTGTATTTACTCCCTCCGTCTGACAGGAGGGAGCCTCGTTGAGCTGCGAGTGTGGCTACAGACAGAGTTCACTCCATCACGGAGGGGTAGTGTCGAGGGAGTGGTTTGGGATTGGGCCTTAGTGTGGCCGGTCTTTTTTCTTCTTCGTGTGTTATTATTTGACAGATAAGAACCACACAACTGCATTAGCGGCCGCTGTCGCCCTCTGTCGGCCGTCAGCGCAACTTAATAGATGACGTTAAACAATTTTTCTTTAAAGGGCCGGCCGGCCGTCAACGGCTCTTCACGACCGGCCGTTCTGTGGTTCTCCAGATTCTACAGATGGCCAGTCCGCCCCTGCCCCAGTGGTCACTACCCCTCCGGTAGTGGTCACTACCCCTCCGGCAGTACCCCTCCGGTAGTGGTCACTACCCTCCGGTAGTGACCACTGTTCCATAAGAACACTGAGTTGGATGGAAAACCATGTCATTTGTTGTGTAAATGTGCGATGAAAATGTTTGTTTACACAATTTCCCTACTTCCTTGAATTGCATTTATTCTCTGTAGTTTCTACAAAATAACTTCAACGTAAACAATATACCAGACATATTCGCTTTTCTTAAAACATAATGTGTATGATTAACTGTGTATGTGTGCATCATAAACATAATTATAGATGGATAGATTGTTACTCACAGTTTTTTGGGGAGATGGAAGCTGTGGAGGACCTTAGGG